GGAAATGATTTTGCGCTCTTCAACATGTGGTTTCGGAGACTTTACGATAGCTTTCCTGGGCCGTGTCTTTACACTCCTAGAAAATCTGCCGGACGTCTCCAGAGTTCGAAACGGTTCACCCGAAGAGAATATTGTGAACACACTTCCCGCCACATTCATGCCTTTGCTCGCCTCTTTGTCTCCAGAGTATTACGATATCGCTTTGGGGAAGATTGTTGATTTTGTGTCCAACCATGTCATCCACCAGGCTCGTGATGCAATGGCTTTCATCTGCAACGCCCTATGCAAAGTTAATCCGGAGAAGGCCCTCAAGCGTTTCATCCCCGTCTTGACTTCAGCTATTCGCACTGAGATCGATGATAATGGTGCTGGATCAACCCGAACAACAGGAACCGATGTTTTGCCCCGTGATCGAGGTCTGGTCTGGAATGTCAGTATGCTGAGCATGTGTGTTGTGCATGTCGGCAGCGCTGTCATTGGCCACCGCCAAGAACTGTTCGACATTGCAGTCTACATGCAACAGAACTGCCGTGGCATTCCTACAGTTCATATTTCCAACTTCATCCACCATCTTTTGCTCAACCTGACTGGGACCTACACTAATGACTTCTCACTCTACGAACCTTCAGTCAAAGCGAACGGCATCGAGCCGAAGCTCTGGAGTTACCAGGCTGATGTGAACAACCTCAACATCAAATGGCATGTGCCGACTCGTCAGGAAATTGAGTTTGCCGTCGACGTCTTCAAAATCCAAACAGAGACGGCCTTGAAGTCGCTATCTGCGTTGACTCATGAGACATCAAATGTCAAACGCGATGGAAGCGGCAAGGACTGGTCAGACGAGGTCACTCGGAATCTCGTGCTTCTGCGGCTCGTGTTATCTGGAGTTTCTGTCCTCTTCGATCCCAAAGCCGCATCAACCACAACACAAGGACCCTCGCACGGCACCTCCGGGGATGTCGAAATGGGGGATGATTCTAGTGTTTCAAATGACGTTGATAACGACGCCGATACTGTCCTAGACAGCTCTGATGATGCTATAATTAGACAGGCTTTCACCTACCCCACTGGATATGCCCTCGAGGAGGGAGATCCGTTGTATACTATCATCCATGAACTTCGTGAACGAACTGGCTGGGTCTTACATGATGTACACCGGTTCTTGAGCGATAATCAAGAGGATGATGTTCCTTGCTTTGGGGCTCTGTACTCTGCGTTCAGATCGTGGTTTGTTGATGTGGGCATTGAGAGGTCCGCCCATGTGCTCGACCGAGTGACTCGCCTCCTGGCTGCGGACATTCATCCTTATAAGATGAGTGGTATGCGAAAAGATTATCCTAGAGCTCTACTTGTGCGCAGAGCCAACGTGTATCACCTCCAACGCTTGCGGCACAACGCTTCTCCCCGTCCTCGGTCCAAACTTGATGAAATCCTTCTTCTTGATATTGCCGAATCTTGTGTCTCGGTCTACACAGAAACGCGCCGCAATGCTCAAAACGCAGGTGAATCGGCACTTAAGGCCGTTTATGGCGGCAGACTGCTCGTTATCCCCCCTCTGCTCACGGCTCTGCAAAGGGGTGTCAAGGAAAATGACCATGCACGCATCAAGGGTGCACTTTACTCGTTGCTTCTGAGCAGTGTAGCTAAAACTGTCGGACGGCATTGGAAGTATGCACCTGCTGTAATCAGAACCTTTATCGATGCCAGCGCCGTTGATAAACCTTCCGTCCAGAAGATTTGCTCCACTGCAGTCTTCCAGGTCATGGATTATGGTCGTGCGATGGAGCGAATGGCTATCCTAGATCAAGAAATTGTGGAGGCAATTGCTCCCAATGAAGATGTCACCGAGCAGATTGAGAAAAAGCGTGCAGTTGTCAACAGCAAGCGCGTCGCTATCGAGAAAAAGAAAGCCGACCTGTCCGAAGAGCTGGTAAACCTGGCACGGGTATCCCATTGGAAGATTGCCAGTCGCGCTGCAACCATCGTCATCACTATGGGCCTTCGCTTTGACTATATTGCCAGCGATAACTTGATCGAACTAATGACCCTCGGGTCTATTGATGATCATCCTGGCCTGCGAGGCATGTACTCCCAGGCTCTCATCGCGCTGTTCACTATGATTGATGTGCGTGCCATCTGCACTCACGAGTATAAGAACTACATTCTTGGCCATCAGCGTTTCCCGTCAAAAATCAAGGTTGCAACAAAAGCCCATGAGGAAGGATACACTGAGGAATATCTTTCTAGCTTTGCGAAGCCCGAGGCGGAGTACTATGTTGATCACGACTTCCCGGGCTGGCTTGTGTGGGGCAAGACCATGCCGGCTTACAAGTCCAATGTAACACGGGATATCGACTATGATGAGGTTGAATGGAAGGTTCGCACCAAGATGGGCAAGCTGTTCACACGCCAGTGGTTCTCCAAATTCTTTATGTACTTGAAGCAAGAGCCACGGGACCCATCTGCTGACAAGTTCCGCATGTCCTGTGCCATGATGCTTCTCTACGCATTTGAGCTCATGATCCGGGATGGGCTTACAGCCGTCTCGTTTGAGGAAATCCAAGAAGAGATCAAGGATGTCTTTGAAGACGGTAGTGATAAGCACCAACACCGTGCCACAGCTGAAATTCTCGGAGCATTGATCTCCTCAGTGACGGATACAGGTGTGGAGAAGCGGACCATGGTCTGGGAGTATGCATTCCCTATTGTACGAAAGATCTTCACCGACGGCCTCACTCCCGAGAATTCTGGCTACTGGACAACATTCCTCCATATGATCCTTCAATGCCGAGATCCCCGTCGCGCTTGGCCATTGGTCGATTGGCTATCCAGCTTCCGTCTTGATATGACAACCAACGCGGCATTCAAGGAAAGCTCTAAGATCAATCTCCTGCACCAATGCATCATTGATTCTGGTTGGCATTATCAGCTTGAGAAGCCCATTGTGGAAGATTTCCTCGGACATCTGGACCACCCGTACAAGGGCGTCCGTGAGGCAATGGGCCAGACACTTGCAACTATTTATCGTACGAGGTACCACGAGTCGTACCCTGATGTCCAGCATCTTCTCGATGCCCAGAAAGCCTCCTCTTCTGTTGGCACATACCCCTATCCGCCTACTGAAGACTTTACGAAGGTGGTTCGTGGAGTTTTTAGTCAAATCGAGGAATGGCGGAAGGCCAGAACTCCTGGTCAACAGACACCCTCATCCTACACCTCAGGAAGCAAAACTGTCCTCCTTTGGTTAGATTCGACTTTGTCTTCTCACGAGTGTACCCAGCTTGTCCCATTCTTCCCCGATGTCTTCACTGCGCAGCTCCTGCACATGATGGACGTGAAGGAAGACCCGGAGCTTCAGTCCCTCGCATACCACGTTTTCCGCCATCTCCCCAACATCCCTTACCCAGCTGAGAAAAACTCCGAATTTATCCAATCTCTCATCCGTATCGGACAGACATCCCCGTCGTGGCACCAGCGCCTTCGTATCATGATCAACATCCAAATCATCTACTTCCGCCGTCTGTTCCTGCTCGACCCTGCGGACCGCGATAAGCTCTTCGAGTGTATCGCCTCCATGCTCGAAGACCCCCAGCACGAAGTCCGTGCTGGCGCCTCGGCCACACTCTCCGGTATGGTCCGATGCTCGCCCGTCTTCCTACGGGAAAAGATGGTCAGTCGCTTCCATGAACGCTTCACCAAGCTTCTGGTCGACAACCCTCTCCCCAAGAAACCGAAAAACTTCCGCTCAGGAATCGCCTCCTCCGCTGTGTCATCTGGTGCTGGAACCCCCACCCCGGAGCACAACCGCTTGATTATTGTCCGCCATGGTGCTGTGCTAGGTCTTGGCGCTTTGATCCAGGCCTTCCCCTACAACAGCCCTCCACCTCAGTGGATGCCTCAAGCATTAACTTCGCTCAGTATCCGCGCAGCCAATGATCCTGGCATCGTTGGTTCAAGCGTGAAGTCGATCATCAGCGAGTTCAAGAAGACTAGGCAAGATACTTGGCACATTGATGCAAAGGTTCGTGCTTATGCGTTTAGTCTCAATTCTCAAAACAAACGACTAACGATTATTATAGGCTTTCACATCGGATCAGCTAGAAGACTTATCAGGTGTTCTATGGAAGAGCTACTTTGCATAGATCGAACTTGGATATTCACCATTCTTCAGTTGAATTGGCGGGGGGGTATCTCATTGGTTCTCTGGTCAGACAACTCCTAATAGCATTGTGATTAATGGCCGTTCGTACATATTTCTCGGTCTCCCCGCATGAGATTTCTGATAGTGTGGTCTATCTTTAGTACGAAAATGAAAGCCCTGTGCTATCTTTAATTTCTCTTTATATAAATGCTGCAGAATTCTCCATCTGAGGTTACGGGTAGTTGGGATCAAACTATTCGAGAATAATAGACACTCTCCCATGACATATTGTGTTCCAAAGCTGTATGATCCCCCTGTAATAAGCTTCTCTTCTTGAGTGTGACAAGTGAAAGAGCAATAGAAATACTCTTATGATGTTCAGTACAGCCGTGGACAATAACATTTGATCTGATACGAAGCATTGTATGTCCCACGCCGTCGGACATTGTACGACAAGCACGCAGAATATTCAACATATAACTATTTTGACACTCGTACAACTTCAATATTCATATGTCTTTCAGGTTAGATTCTATAGAAAAAAAAAGTATGGTATTACCCAAGTTTTAGTCGGAGATGCAGTCAACAGAGCGTAGTGATGACATCGTAGGCCTTTAAACCATATCTCGTAGATATTACCGTCAAACGAATGCATTGACTTCTCTCACAATATCCTTGACTTCATACTATTCCTTCTTTCATTCCGATTGTCACCTCGTCACCTCTGCATTTTCATTTCCTTACCACGCCCATCCCGTGGCTTCCAAAGCCAAAGTATGCGATTATTCACCCTGTTGATGAACTGTCTCTCGCTATGAAATTCCTCGCAAGAAAAAAGACGCCGTCCCCATTTTATACTATGTCTTCTGTCTCTCCGTGGGATCGATGGACCTGCTTGCGCTGGCTGGGGTATCTTACCTGCCTGGTCACCATCATCCAGACTAGCTCCTATCTCTTTGGGTATCCAGAGACAAGTCTTGTCCAGGCTGTCTATGCTTCATTCAGTGGCCCGGGGATTATTCGGCCTGGTCAATATCAAGGGCTTGTTGGCGGCGTGAGGGACAAGGTAGCAGACGAACACTCATCTGAGCCAGATTCTTTGGGCATCGCACATGATCGGAGGTTTGTACCCATTCCAATTTATGAGTGTACAGATATAAGATCGTGCTAACAATGTTCCTTTCATTAGAGACAAGCGATTCTTTCTTGGGGGTACCTTAACCCTAACCAGCATCAAGTCTGCCAATGCCTCGCACCCAGTCCCACTTATCTATGATCCATACCCATCATACAACAGCCGAGAATGGAAGAAGCAGTTCCATGGAAAGTTTCGGCCTTGCCTTGGTCCCAGGAATCGTTACCTCGACCGCAGGTCTGCAGAAGATATGATCCAAGTCTACAAGGGCCAACAAGCGGAGTTCCCAGCACCACGATTCGGATCATATGAAGCATTGGGTCTAGATGGCAACGTTTGCACAGACCGGTACTCCCGATATGGGGCGTATGGATACGATGACGATGGCGAGGACGAGGTACCGGGCTTCACGCGCCCTCCCGCAGTGCCGTGGCGTGAAGTCGATTGGCAAAGACTGCAAAACCTCTGCCTGGAAAGAAACGCAGATCGATACGTGTCCACCGAAACCGCCAATTCTTCAACTCAGAGTCCACTGGCCTTCGATCTTCCACAGGCCCCCCACAAATTATGGGAGACACCCGTGAGTGCTTCCGGTGTCAAGCAGTTCAAACCTCGCTCGGCTGTACTGATTCGGGCTTAGAATGGGCTCAATTGGAAGCCTCACCATCGTGAATACATTCGAGCTTTGATTATGGAACTTTCCTTGCATTCTGGTGGAGAATACCAGATCTATATTTTGTGTCATGTCAAAGAAAACGAGATGCCCATATTCTCTGATATCAATACCATCAACCAGCTTAGGAATTCCATTCCCAAGGAATTTCGGAATATGGCTCTTTTCTTCAATAACAAACTCTTGGAAGCTTGGTATCCCAAGATAGAAGAACACAGGTGAATCGTTTCCCATTGAATGAAGTTAAAGATGGCTTTAACTAACAGCATTCACAGCCCCCAACTTCAACACCACCAACCTTTGCAAATATTCTCCCAGCTCTATCCACACTTCGACTATTACTGGCAACTAGAAATGGATGCTCGTCACACAGGACACATCTACCACTTCCTAGACCGCGCAGTCTCATTCGCCCGCCAACAACCCCGCAAATATCTCTGGGAACGCAACGCCTACTTCTACACCCCCGGCGCACACGGCAACTGGAGTCAATTCACGCAAATGGTACACGATAGCCTAGCCGACAATTCCAACCGCACAGTCTGGGGCCCGGTATCCCGCACAGGAATCAGACCACTGGGCCCCGAGCCGCCAGTGCCATATCCAGACCAAGACAACTATACCTGGGGCGTGGGTGAAGAAGCCGACTTCATAACGTTCCTGCCAACCTTCAATCCACAACATACGCAATGGACATTCCCCGACAAGATCTGGAACTTCAAATACGGCGAGGGCACGCCGCGCCGCGCCGCAGTCATCACAATGGGACGGTACTCCAAGCGTCTACTCGATCTAATCCACCACGCGCAGGCGACGAAGGGCCTTGGCCTTGCGTCGGAGATGACGGGTGCATCATGGGCTCTCTTCCATGGCCTCAAGGCTGTGCATGTTCCCCACCCTATCTACGCGGATGGGCAGTGGACACCGAGGGAACTGGCGCGCATCTACAACCCCGGTCCGCCGGAGAATGTTAATGGGGGCTCTGATAGTATTTGGAATTTTGATCATATCTTCGATCATATTATGTACCGCCTCTCGTATATGTTTACGACGCATAGCGCGGAGGATTTGTACAGACGATGGCTAGGGTTCAGGACTGCGGAGCATGAGGGTGGGAAAACCGTGAGTATATTCTGTTTTGTTTCTTTTGGTCTTTTGATATGGGAACAGTTGACTGACTTATCTCTAGGTATCTGAGGATCGCTATGGTCGGCATTGCTTCCCTTCTATGTTTCTTCATACAATCAAGAACACAGCTCAAGGAATGGGCCCAGACAGGGCTGTTCCCTGATCCATGTCTATGGGTGGATCATTGACATCTCAGGTTCTTTTTGCTTGGAGTTATCTGGCGTTGAAATAAAAGGCACATACGATTTGCTTCGATATCTAATTCAGAGAAATCTGAAGCTCTACAACATCATTTGTACTAAATGATCAGCCATTGTTCTAGTTGCTGAATTGCGAAGAGATTTATTGCAAGGCAAGTTCATTCGGGATACTGAAGTTATCCAATTGAGCTCTATTAAACAGATCGTAGAATTGCAAAAAACCAAGGCATTCATCGCTGATACATGAAAGAAGAAGTAGAAAAAAAGGCCATCAAAACAGGCCAGTATGCAGAAAGGGGCAACCTATGTACGTGAATGGAACAACCTGAGAAACCGAGAGCAATTTACCATTCATACGCTCTGTGAATTTTGATAATCCCCGTCCGAAAATGAAAGCCCATCTCATAGCATCATTAAGAACCCCAGGAGCCTCTTTCTCTATCCCCTGGCATTATACTTCTCATTGAAAGCATTAACCGCTGAGCAAAATTCGGTTAGCATATAAATTATGTAGCATGATCTGGTAACCCCTTACCAACAGCAATTTGTCTGTACAGCCAGTTCCGTGAGCTTTCGTCTTGGACAGGAATGAAGGGTCCGTTGGCACCACCCTTGAGCGTGATACTCATGCCCGTGCGCTCCTTGGAGATGGTCTGAATATCCGTGAGACGGATATCCCACTCAGTAGACAGCTTCTTCGTCCGCACAAGCATGATACGTGCGTACGTCAACAAGACCAGCATGTCTCGACCAGGAAGCTCTAGGTGGGCAATGTAGTCCTCGTTGAAGTATTTGCCGTCGTCCGTGGTCTTCAGCCAGAACTGTCCGAGGGCTTCCCGCTGCGAGTACGGGCGCACAATGCCATCAGTACCAATGAAGCGAGTGAGTCGAACACGGTCGAGACCTTCAGCATCGAAAACGGTGGTGGTATTGCGAACACCTTCTGCTAGATCTAGTAGGAAATTGTTAACTATGAATACCAGAAAGAGAAAATGGCTCAACTTACTGGAGGCAAGATCGAATGCACCGATTGCTGGCTTGGTAGCCAATCCAAGAACACCCTTTCCAACGCCCTTGAAGAATCCTTGGATACCTTCTTTCTCGGCACCTTGCAGTGGATGACGTGCCAATCCACCGATACCGCTTGCAAGACTAGTTGCGAATGCGTTGCCACCAGCCGTGATTCCATACAGCGCGTGCTTGGGGCGGTTGCGCACCTTGGACATCCGGCGCTGGGTTTGGAACTCCTTATCAAGAGTTGCGGCGGCGAGGCCCTTGGACATACTTCCAGTGAGCTTGGCCATACTATCCGAGAAACCAAAGACGGACTTCTTGACGAAGCTTGTGGCACCCTTTGCGATACCAATACCAAGCTCTTGGGGGCGGTCGGTCATGACCAGACCCTGATATGGCTCATAGAAGATGGCGGCCACACCAGAGCTGACATTGTTGAACAGACCGACAGGGTTGCCCAAGAAGTCGGCCGAACCGAGAATGATATGGATCTGGCGCAAAAATTCTTGGGTGTAGTGTGAACGGATATTGCCGACCAGGCTGGGGAAAGAGACGCGGGCATTCTCGAGCATCAGAGCGTTGAGTCGAACAGGTGCATCATTGACATTACCCATCGACATCGTCATGACGTTGACAAAGAACATCAACGGGTTGGATGGTTGCATAGCATCTTCCACATTGACGCGTTCGGTGCGCATGAAAGAAATATCCATCTGCATGGGCTGGAGATGAAGGAGTTCGAAGTACACATCCTGACCATTGTCTGTCTGCTGCGGCTCTGGAATGTTGAGGTCTTCATCGCACAGTTTGCCCTCTTGTTCCTCTGCCCACGACGCACCCGGAATCTTGACAAAGTCAAGCATGGCAAGGACAAAGTCCTCATCCAATTCCAGTGTCATTTGCTGCAATAGCAAGGTCGCGTACTTGATATAGAGAACACCGTACGAGTCGTCCTTGACACGTGTAACCATTGCATGGAAGATCGGGTGTGCTTCCATCTCCTTGCCAGTCTTCGGAACAACACTAGGGTAAAGCAAGATAGGGAAAATGCCACCATAGAGTTGATTATCGATTTGGATCCACTTGATCGTAGTGTTAAGGGTCTGGTACAATCTCGACTCCCTAAACTTGATCTCAATCTCGCGGAATGTGAGATACAACAGCTCCTTCAAGTTCTGGTTGATCAACGAAATCCCAATGCCACCCAGGCGAAGTTGGGCCTTGAAGTTGACGTCCGAATTCGTTTCCTTGACCTCGAACCCAGTGTTCGTGCCGGTCTGTGAAGGTTGTCCTCTTTGTTGCTTGTACATGCTCTTCGACGGTTTGAAATTGGACAGGACGAGAGTCTGAGTGGGGCCATCGGCAGCAATGTTGATGTCAATGATCTTCTGGTATCCGCCAGGCTGCGAAGGTGGAATCCGCATCGGGATCAGATTTCCTATCTCGGCAAGCTTGATATGGCGCTCTTTGCCCTGACAAGTCAACACGAGAGACTTGTTCTTCGTCGCCGGGTAGTCCCATGCATATGGCATAATACTTCGCGCGGGAATTCGATACCGGATCGGCCTCCAGCCGCTGGTCTGGTCGTCTTCATCATCGTCTTCCACATTTGGATTAGCTTGGTAGAAAATGAACTCCATGTCGCTTTCGTTACGCATGGAGAACGGCCAATTGCGAGACTCAATGCTAAAGTGTAAGAAAAGAGTTGCTCCTTCCATGATGATATCAACCTTGATCAGCTTTTGGCGCTGATTTGCCTTAGCCAACTTAACGTGCACAGTTCCAACATCTGCGATGCTGAACGGAGAAGACCATTGATTGTTAACGCCCGGGAAGCAGAGACACAACTGTTTCTCTTGCACTTGGCGAAGGAAATGAAGTGGTACCAGCTGCCCGTTTTGAAGCTGGAGTACGTTGGACGAGCCGGGCTCTCGCACCAGGAGTTCTTCGTTGAGCTTGCTCTTTAGGATGAAACGTGGGGCAAGAGTGACCACCTTGGTCAACTTGTACTTGCCCTCGCCTTCGGCAACAGACACTCCAGAGTGGAACTCAGATCTACCTTGGCGATCGGGGAAGATGATCTCAAATGTACTGCCAATAGCCTCGAAACTCTGCGGCTTACTCCACGCAGAATCGCTGACCTTCAAGATGGATCGATTTCGTTGATCCTCGTTGGCATAAGAATACATGTATGGGAGCGCACGGCCCTCATCTCTTGGATCAGCTCTGAGTCCTTGACCAGCAGCATTTCTCGCAGACTGAAGGAATGCTTTGCTTTGAATGTCCATGGGAAGCCCAGTCTTGTTCAAGATAAGGTATGGGCTGTACACAGAGACCTTGAAAGCACCACCGCTGTTGGGAATGTTGAAGTAATGAAGTTGTAACTTCAGCTGAAGACCCCGATCGTCTTTAAGAGACAACGTATGCTCTCTGCGGTAGTCCTGGGCATTGCCGTTGACGATAGCAAACTCGCTCTGGCGGAAGACCGTGTCTTGGAGATCAATGCTGAGCAACAGTAAGTGGGACAGTTCCACGACGTGGACCGGGCTAACACCCCCCTTCCTTAGGAAGTTCGTCCAATCCTTCTTCGTGTTCTTGTCATAGATACGGTACTTGAAGTCGTAAGGGAGGAGATTCTGAATCTCCACTGGAGCGAAGATTCGGATTCTCATGTAAGGATACACGCTCGTAAGCGAATCTTTGCTATCATACGTTGCGTTGACTTGGAAATAGAAAGGAGGAGACTGTTGTCCACTTTCGCTAACGCATTTGACGGTGCGTGTGGGTCGCTTGATGAGGTCCTTCCAGAACAGTCGCTCGCCTGACCAGTCATAGCCGAAGCCCTGATCGGGACGAACCACAATGGAATGGAGGTATGCCGATCCGACAGGTGCCGGTCGTGCATCGCCAGGCAAAATCTTCTCGATCTTCAACAAGTGGCCTTCTCCGGGGCTGAAAATGCCCATTTCCACAGGAATTTGGGTGTTGTTCTCAATAAGAAGTGGCGAGCGGAATGTGATGTACTTGACATTGTCGGGTCCCAGTTTGACTTCCACGAGTAGCCGGTGAAGAACGTTCTCTTGCTTCGGCTTCAAAGCGTAGATAGTTTCGCCCTCGCGCACGACAGGAATGCGGCTGATACTATCAAAGCCACTACCTTCCAGTTTGACACCAACCACTCCGCCATGGCCTTCTGGTGTCAGCGTTTCACGGACAGCGGTGGAATCTTCAAATCGCCATGGGGATTCTTCGCCGTCAGTAAGTTTCGCCGCTGGGCCTTCATCCCCTGCGCTGACATCAGCCCAAACTCTGAGGTCAAATCCAGTGTAGTTGCGGATTCTGTATGGGGCATCAGCGCCTCTTGGCTTGGAAAGAACATCCTCATCCGTAGAGAGGAATTGGAAGGATTTGGATGCGAGTGCAATGGTGGCGGACGTTACGGTAAGCTCCATTGTCTTGTGCGAATACACATCGAAGGAGAAAACATCCGGGTTGATCTCCTTGGCCATGTGGAATCCCAGCTGCCAGGGCTCCATCAATGGCTCCCAGGCCGACTTTGAGAAGTTGTACACATTCAAGAACGTTTCGAAGTTGGTATCAGCATTCAGTGTTGATGACCAGTCGCGCACATCGACGTTGAATTTCTTGACGCTCCAATCGAGCAAGGGTAGATCGTGCAGGTCGCCAATAAGAATGACTCTAACTCCGTCGATCTTGGCAGACATCTCTTCGCGCTTGAGCAGAACTGAGCTTTGTGGCGCAGTCGCCTTATCCAGGTTTGCAACGCCTTGACTCAGGCGACGGGCTCTTTTAGCAATAGTAGAGGACGTCTTGCTAGCAGAACGCCCTCTTGATTTAGCGTCCGTGAGTTTCTTCGCCTCTCCGCTCTCGATCTGCTGGCCATTCTGAGCCCTCATTTCAGCGGCCTTGTTGACAATCTGGATTGCCA